CTTTCCCAGCTCCAGCATGGGATCTGTCCCATGGGAGATGATTCTCCATGAACTTCTCCAATGCGAGTCCTTCCCATGGGCTACAGTTCTTCATGAACTGCTACAGTATGGGTTCCCCTCGGGGTCACAAGTCCTGAGCAAACCTTCCCTAGCACAGCTTCTCTCTCCATGGGTCCACCTGCTCTGGTGTGGGGTCCTCCACGGGCTGCAGGTGGATCTCTTTTCCACCATTAACCTCCATGGGCTGCAGGGGAACAGCCTGCCTCACCATGGTCTTCACCATGCACTGCAGTGGAATCTCTGCCACAGTGCCTAGAACACCTCCTCCCCCTCCTTCTTCACTGACTTTGGTGTCTGCAGAGTTGTTTCTCTCACATATTCTCACTCCTCGCTCCAGCTGAAATTGCCCTTGCGCAGCTTTGTTTTTCCCCTTTCTTAAGTATGTTATCACAGAGGCGCTGCCACTGTCACTGATGGGCTTGGCCTTGGCCAGTGGTGAGTCCATCTTGGAGCTGTCTGGCACTGACTCTTATTGGACATAGGGGAAGCTTCTAGCAGCTTCCCAAAGAATCTACCCTTGTAGCATAATCACCACCTAAACCTTGACACATAAACCCAATGCACCAACCCATTAATGAGCAATTTTTATTCATGGCTACTCACTCCAGATAATTAATGGAATAAGTTAGTCTAGATAAGGCTCTGGACTGAGTATGTTCATGAGGCGATCAGAAAATCTTAAAACATTATTTTTCTTAGAATAGTCAATTTCCAGTGGCAATCCCTTTGCATCAGATCGAATATTAGGAAAAGGTTCTTCACTGAGAGGTGGTCATTCACAGGAACAGGCTTCCCAGGGAAGTAGTTATGGCACCAAGCCTGTGAAAGGTCAAGGAGCATTTAGATGACACTCTTAGTCATATGGTTTAGTTGTAGTAGTTCTGTGAGAAGTAAGATGTTGGACTTCATGATCCTTGGGTCCCTTCCAACTCCAGAGTTCTATGATTTGATGATTTTATGTTTAATGGTAGTATAGAGATAAATTGTATAAGATACTCTTGTACTCTTGTATACAATTAAGGAACAAAAAGAGTGAGTTGGTCACAGAAATATTTTTTTGTGACCTAGAATTATTTCCTTTTTAGGTACTCTCTAAAACTGGTAACAAGATTTCTAAACTGTGGACTCAAAGTGGCAACCAAGGTCCTCAATGGAACAGAGCAGAAGTGTTCTTAGGATATCGTTCAAATTTTCAGGTATGTATTCTTAATTATGTTCTCTCTAGACAACTGGCTTTAGGTGCTTTTATATTATCTTCATCTTAGGTACTTTTACATATTCTTCATCTCCTCATTTCCTTTTTGCCCCATACACATACGGTATCTCCCCTGAATAGCAAAAATCATCTTTTTGGCTGTCTGATCTGTTATCTGAGCTGGACGCAAGTTTTTGGAAATTTCTTACTCCCCTTCAATCTCAGACTATTATCCATTTTTAAGACAGAGAATCCCTTCTACCCTCAAATCCAGTTCAGGTTAAACTATTCCACTTCCTCCTTCTTAGTGTGTAGCAGTACTACATCTGGTTTATGAAGAAAGAGTCTTGAGCATTATGTTCTATTTGAAATACGAGCTGATTCCTAAGCCTGTCAGAGATGCATGGGTATGCCATACTTAGTTGTATCCTTATAAAAAAAAAACCACAGATGGCCATATTTAAAATGTGCTACATTCCCTGTTACTTCTGTTTTGGATTGCTTTTGCAGAAGTAGGTGGAACTCTTGTTATTAATTCAGGGGAAGTGGGGACTAGTATCGGTTTGCGTTGCCCATTTTCTTTCCTGTTTTTTGTGTGTACTTGGTTAATGTTGGAAGATGGTCCTTCAATAACTATAGTGACAGATCTGTACAAGCATTAGTACAAACTTTCATAGGACTGTGCTATGACAGTAAAAATTGACCACTACGTATTTCAAGATTTGCAAGGACAATCATAGTCTCTGTTCCATTCATGTTGCATATATAAGCTTTTATAAATCTTAATAGTGTTCTACTGTAATAGCTCTGTAATTTTTATTAGATTGTTTTCAGGGCAAAACGTGGTGTCAGTTACATGGGAGATGTGGCAGTGGATGATATAACCTTTGAAGATTGTTCCCCTTTGCTCATCTCAGGCAGACCTTGCACATCAGAGGAATTCACATGTGCCAACAAGTACTGCATCCCAAAAGATAATCTGTGTGATTTTGTAAATGACTGTGCAGATAACTCAGATGAGAATCCTATTATTTGCAGTAAGTTTTTAAAATATATTTATCGTAAATAACTGTGTCTGTTGTGAACTGTTATTCCTTGAATATATTTGGCAGCTCATCAGCTAAGAAAGGAAACAAGAAGGTAATAATTTAATTCTATTCCTTGGCTTTTAAGGATTTTGAATTCATGTTATTTAATTTGAAATCGTATGATAGAAAATAAGAAGAGCTGTTAGGGAATTTCATAAAATAACTCAGAAAGCATGTGTCTTTAAAAGCAGAATAAAATTCTCCTGCTTTCCATATGAAAAGAATGTATTAAGGCTGAAAAAAAATACTTCAAGTGTGATACCTTTGGGATATGAGGGACCTACCTCCTTTGATATTTCAGGGATTGTCAGGTCTCTCAGCAAATCATTTTAATCTGAATGCTGTACAATTTTGGTTTTACAAGTGTTATCAAGAAACAGCATCTGTAGTGTTGGATTAAAAGAACAATGTTTCATATCAAATGGGTTCTCCTCTGGAGAAACGGATCACAATATGTAGTACTAACGTTTTCTTTTTTCTAGTACAATTGTGGGAAACACCTACACGATCAAAACTGCATTGTTTGGTATCATATGAACAGTTGCCTCACTTTTATTGAGAATAGGAATACAGTTTATCAAATTCTCAATGAATACAATTCTATGAAGCAAAGACATGCTGGTATCCTATGAAGCCAAGGTACACAATAAAGGGATTGTGTTTCACAAATTATTTTCATACTATTAAACTTCTCAGTCATTTCCAAACCAGGAATAGCATGCCACTAAGCCACATGGGGACCAATTCAGATCTGCAACTAAAAACGAGGAGTATATGAAGTTGGAATTACTCTGTTGCAAAATGTTCTCGTATTTTGGTTTTATTTTCTGAAATATTTCAAAGCTGTTTACCTGTGACTTTTTTTAGTTTTCCAGATTGTCTGTATTTCCACAAAACACTGTCAGCCAAGGGAAGACCGAAGCATTAGGGGCAAGATGATTCAAATAGGCTGATGGGATTTAGTTTTGCAACACCCTAAAATAAGTATTTCATCCTGATTCCCCATTGGAAAAGAGATGAATTGAAACAGTAACACAAGAAAAAATGCCTTCTTTTAAAATGGTTTTTTACTTAGTATTTTTAAGTTTTGGGGTTTTTTTTAAAAAAAAGGTAAAAAAATCTTGGAAAAAAAAGTTAAGACCTTTCCTGACTGTAGTTTAACAGAAAGATTTATAATCAAGTATTATGGAGCCTTAAGAGCACAGAGGTTGTTACTGGGGTGAAACTTCTATATCAACAGGGATTTTGACTCAGATAAAAAATTAATCCCATTTCATAATATCTAATTGGGCTGAAAAATGTTTGGTGATCAATTATGACTTCCTTTGTCACATCTGGGAGTACATTATTCAGGAGCATTTTCAATAACAGTGTCAGGAATTAGACTAATTTTTGATTTTCTTCTTTGATTTTTCAGTTTTGAAATAGATATATTGCTTTAAATCTCCACTATGTTCCGATTATTTAGGATTTCTTTTATTGGTGCTGCCTCTGCCTTATATATTTAATAAAATTGAAGTACATAATATAGCACTTATTGAAAATATACCTAACAGAAAAATACTAGTTCTATTTTCACAGCTTTTTCATGAGGCAAGCTGCCTCTAAAGAGAACATAATGATAGGAAGCACATATTTTCACTCTTTGTGAAGTTCTTTTTCATTCCTTGCAGCCATCAGAGAAGAGTTGTTTCCTCACTGCTGATTTCTGAACCATAGAATGGTAGCTTGAAAACCTCAAACTCAGAAGCCTGAGGAAGGCTTTAGGATGGCAAAGCATGACAGATCAAAGCATAGGAAACAAGAAATGGGCAGTTTTGGCCAAGCATGGAAATTGTGTTTGAAAAACATGAAAACTGTGCAGCTTCAAGATACCTTGTTGTGGTTTAGGCCCAGCTGGCAACTAAGAACCATGCAGCTGCTCGCTCACTCCTACCCTCATGCTGGGATGGGGAGAAGGAAATATAACAAAAGGCTCGTGGGTCAAGAAAAGGGCAGGGAGGGATTTCTCACCAGTTATGGTCACGGGCAGAACAGACTCGACTTGGGGGAAAAATCAATTTAATTTGTTACCAATTAAATCATGGCAGGATAATGAGAAATAAAACCAAATCTTAAAAACACCTTCCCCTCACCCATCCCTTCTTCCCCAGCTCAACTTTGGTCCCAATTTCTCTGCCTTCTCCACCCCAGCAGCACAAGGGGACCAGGAATGGGGGCTGTGGTCAGTTCATCACACATTGTCTCTGCTGCTTCTTTCTGCTCAGGGGGAGGACTCCTCACACAGAAGGCAGTCCTCCAGGAACTTCTCTAATATAAGTCCACACCTCCCTCTTCTCTGCATTGCAGGCTTCCCAGCAGGTTTATTTTTTTTCCCCCTCTTGAATATGTTATCACAGAGGCACTCTCACTGTTGCTAATTGCCTTGGCCTTGGCCAGAGGCAGGTCTGACTCGGAGCTGGGGAAGCTTCTAGCAGCTTCTTACAGGAGCCACCCCTTCCCTGCTACCAAAACCCCGCCACACAAACCAACAACTTCTCTCTGTAGCATCTTTTAGCAGTAAGCCTTTCTGTATCGCTAGCTCTAACTGTAGATGTTGTTTGCTACGTGCACGAAGAGTCATTGTATATTAGTTAATGAAAATGCTGAAAGAAACTAGTCCCAAATCTCTGTAATATTCCTGAAACTCCAGAATGCTAATAGGAGTATATCAGATGAGGATACTCACCAAGTCTAATTTGCAATGTCTAGACAAAGACAGTGCTGCTGAGGTATAAAGTATGCCTCATAAAGCTGTTAAATTACTATTGAGAGATCTGTGCCTTGGTTTTCTTTGCTTTGTAGAGGGCTCATTTTAGCTAGTTGCATGATGTCAGTGCTGTAAAATAAGTCAAGTACACATTTTAACAGATACATTGATTTGTCAAATGTTTAGAAATTATTCCATTTGATACTGAATGAGTGTTCCGTGCTCAGGTTTTCTTTAAGTATAATGTCACTAGTACTATTTTCTTACTAAAAGTATATGAGTGTGAAATAAACCACAACAGTGCTGGAGAAGTAATGTGTGGTAGCACTCCTTTAGCCTTGTTCAGAAACTGCTGTGGTTTGCCTTATGCTGCTTGAGGTTATCACTGTATCAGAGGAGGGTCTCTGAGGCAGCTCTGTTTATAATGAGTTGGGTGTGCCTCCTTGAGGTAGAATTGGTATTTCATGCAATCTAGTAAACTAAATTTTGTGAAAAAGGCTGTGGGCAGTAGTGTTTTTCCAGTCTGAAATATGGATTAGTGCTAGTGCGGGTGGCTATACTTGGTAGATATTTGGTTTTGTTTGAGCTTGGTTAATATTTGGTTTAACTCATCAGTGTACTTCTGAATCAAATATCTGTTATTCCTATTTGTTATGATTTGGTTTGCATTGTGGAGCGTGTTTAAGCATATGAACTAGGCTCCTTTCATTAGAAAATAGATTGAAAGATGAGCTCCAGGGGGGCATCAAATGTATTCTAACCACTAGTGGTCATTTAGCCCATAGGATTAGTCGTACTACTTCAGTCCTCTTTCTTCCACTGTCCCTCTAAATGCCATCAGATCCTCAGCATCAGGTGGTTTGCTCTACAGATCTGCTCCTACAGGTCTGAAATTCTTGTTCATATAAGCGTAGCTATTGGGAATAATATGACTTGAAATAGTTTAAATTTTGCTGTATTTAATTACTTCATTTATTACAAAGATTCATTAGATCTTTTGTGATCAGTATAGTATGATTCATATACCTACTGTTAAGTGTTTTTCTTAAATTATTAAGCTCTCATCCAGTAGACTAATTCAGCAGCCTTCTGTCACTGCTCCACAGACAAAAGGATTAGCTTTGCTTTTGTACTTCATTACTAAGAGTTCACCGTTCTTCACAGAAGTGTCTACTACCAAAGATTTAAAATGCAAGTGCAGTCATCTGCTGTAACTTGAGCTTCTAAGCAGGCTGCCTAAATTCTCTTTTTCATCAGTGGAGTGACTCACTTCCAGGCCGAAGTTCATGTAATTTAAAATCAATTGTTTGAGTTAGATTAGGTAAATTGTCCCATAGATATGGCTATTTTTCTTTGTTAACTATAGAGATCCCACAAGGACATCTAAATTTAGATTAGGTAACATGCAATATATATGTAGCATCAGAAGGGTTATTCAGTGCTCATCACTTAAGGTCTTGATTCTTGAAAACATGTTTTTAAAATAAAATGGTCAGTTGCATGCATGAATTTTATTGACTTGAGATGGAACTTCTAAGTAACTGGAATGAATTTATTTAATGAAATTCTAAGTAACTACATGACCACACAACAAAAAATTAGGAGTGACAAATTTTATGGGCAGTTACATTCAGTTGAGGTAAACTACAATCTATATTTTGAATAAAAGATAATCATATCATTTAGCATATCAGGTCTGGGGTTTCTTAGTCGTTATTTCAGATGACATCACATTTGCAGAAAAAGGTAAAAGATAGTGAAGCTATTTTTGCTAAATAGTCCATATTTTTTAAGAAAAAGTTTCTAGCTTCTTTTTCAACCTTATGACCTTCACAAGGAAGAAACCTTTCATCTGATTTCAGTCTGAAATTTTAGAGGTAGCTGTCTGTACGGTTTTGGTCCCTGTGTAGACTCCATAGATTTTAGCTCCTTGGCCTCATTACTGAGGCTTCCAACCAACTGCCAATTAAATAAAGCTACTTTTAAGTGGCTGAACTTTATCAGACCCCAGAAGAGGCTTAGATTCTGTTTACGTTTTATGAGAGAGCTTTTGTCATTTCTTATCCTGTCAGACCAAATAATCCATAAAGTTTCCAAATTTATCTTCAAAGCACTTTCCTTTCCAGCAATAATAGTAAGAATACTCAGAGCGCAGTTGAAAGTCTCTTGAAGGCTCTACTGAGATTCCAGCTTATTTCAGCAAGTTTAGTCTTACTTAGTAATCATTATAATGAAGTTATAGATGCATAGAGGAAAAAATATACGCAGTTTAAACTTCTGGAGTGATGCAGTTGACTTAATGTATGTGGACAGTTGACTCTCCGTGCTGGCTGTTTTGACATTCGAGATTGGAAAATTGGTAAAGAGCATCCATGTAATTTCATATAAAAATCAACCAAAATTATGACAGCTTTCTCTTTTTCCACACATTAAATACAATTTAAGAAGAAATGAGGGTAATCAACTATGTTTGCATAGAAAATACATTTGTGAATTCTTCTGGAAACATGCAAAAATACAGTAACTATGGGTGTGATTCAGCTCAAAGATAGGACACCTGCATTTGTGTTTCACCTATATGTGTCTATATGGAGCCTATGTCTTTCTGGTGCTCAATACATTCATTTGGATGGGTTTCTATTCCCAGTAACATTTGCTATTGTTTTCACCTGGCTTTTCCATGTTCCTCCAAAAAGAAGCTAGTTTTCTGTAGATGTCTTGGATGCCCTACGGAGGGCATCAATTGACCTCTGCCTGTAAGACCCTAAAGAGCATAATTGGCTACTTTTATACTGAAGTCTCTGTTGAGTGTAGTAAGAGCAGAGACCTACCTCATAAATATACAGTTTTATCCTATCCTATGATTATATCCTAGAATATAAAAAAATGTTCTGTTTAATAAGATACATGCATATTATTTTTTCTATTGAAGGATTATTTTTCATTTTATCAATTTGAGTACTAGATTGTAGTATACATACCTAATTAACTTGTTGAAAAAGAATCTCTTTTCATGTGTGTGCAAATATATTTCAGGTACATCTGTTGGGCGTTGCAATTTTGAGTTTGATCTTTGTGGATGGATGCAGGATGAAAACGATGATTTTGACTGGAACCTCAGAACTAGCAGTACAACAAAAATAGGCACGGGACCAGCTACTGATCATACATTACAAGAGCCATCTGGTTATTATATTTTTATAAAGAGTTCATTTCTTCAGATGCCAGGACAGAAAGCTAGGATCTCTAGTCCTATCCTAAGCAGAAGGAATAAAGACTGCAAGGTATGTGGGGGTGTGGTACTTGTAGAATTTGATTTCTAGATTGCACGAAGATAATATTCCTAAAATTAATAAAGATGATCATTGAAATATTTCTTAAGAAATAGCAAGCTTGTTGTAGAAGACTCAAGACATGATCTTATTTCCTTGAAATGATAAGAAAGCATATATATTGTTGTGGGAGAAGAATGATTTATCTAAGTAAGTAAGTACTCTGCGAGATTCAGATGAAGTTGTCAGGGAGCACATTGTCTGCCTTAGAATGTCTTGCATGACATCAGCCCTGAGTAGCATACAACTATGTAATGGTTTGTCATTTTATGGAGAAAATGTGTATAAATACAGTAACAATTGGCTTTCAAAGAGTACAGCTACAAATGGAAGGATGCATGACAGAAGGCTTTGTCACCAATTCTCCTCTAGAGAATGGAGAAAAGAGAGCCTTTATTTTCTAAAACATTACAGCACAGTGATTTGAGCTTGATCATTTCTCTGGAAACTTGGATTAAAAAGTTTTCTAGCTTTGATACATCTTTTACAGTCTTAGCTAAAATGGTAACTTACAGTTTGACATCTTTCAGAATACATCATCAGAATCTGTTAGAGGAACAATACGCTGAAAATGTGAATTTTCCAGAAAGATGAATTATTCATTACTTTGAAATGGTGTTTTTCCAATTTTCATAGTCTTTAAGTGTAAAGGCAAAAATCAGTAGTATCTCAGTTTCTAACTTCAGTGTCAAACACAAAATGGAAGTTTAAACATTAATAGTTGCTGATAATTCTAATTACTAATAAAATTAGTAATAATTTTTAAATAGTAATTGGAAATAAAGTGAATGAAATATCTCTATGTATTATTTAATTTGAGAGGAATACTGTGCCTAAATGGAGCTGCTTTGAGAGGGAAAGTGATACGTTTAGCCTTAGGAAAATTAGCAAAGGAAAATTTATAAAGACTAGAAAATTAACAAGATAGGAATGGCTAAACATTTTCAAGGTAAATTTGGGAATAGATTTCCAGAATTGACAAAGTGACCAGATGGCGGCGGGGGGGGGGAACCAAAAACTAGTAAAATAGTGAAGAGAAAAAGGAGATATTAATATAAAAAGTTATTTAATGTTTGATTTGAGATGAAGAAATTAATAGCTCAAACAGTTAATAAAGACCCAGAACTTCATCCTGACAGATCAGACAGCCCCTAAAACTCTTTTACTCCATTCTATGAGTTGTTAGAGTTGAAATGAAGCATGAACAAATACAGAGTGGTCTAGGTCATATGCCAGCCTAAAATCTAGGGTAAAGAATTTTGGAACTACTGTGAGTGAAAAAAACATTCATGCTATTATTTTGCTAATTATTTTGCTACTAACACATGAAGATCTGTCTAATTTGGCAATGAGAATGTTTGCTTGCTATCTAACTTTACCCAGTTAAATAAGCTCAAGAGCTCTCTAATGATCTGATCATAAAATAGTCACTTTGCTCTCCAGCATTTGGAGCATCTCCACTACTGATGCCACACTTGGAATTCTTACTCCGTTTGTTGGAGATACTGATCTAATAACTTGCCTGAGAGATTATATCAGTGTTTTTATATTTATGGAAGATGTAAAATTTTATTGAGTTCCTGCCTGTAAATAGGATATGTAATCATTTTACATTAGATTTTTGCCCTCAGTAGTCTCATTTTGCAATTTCATCTTTATACATCTTTCTAATAACTAGCTCTCTCATGAGGATAATCTTGGTGAAGAGGAGTTGTTTTTTAAAAAAGCTTTGAATTGAACTGATTGTGTGATCACTGCACTATGCTCATCAAATGAAGGTTGTCGTAGACCAAAATAGCCCTAAGTAGTTTTACTGTATATGCAGATGACGTCTCTGTTCAAAATGTCTGGTCGTTTACCTTTAGGTCCATTTATCTCATACTCACTACTCACGAAGAAAATCAAAACCTGTAAAGTGTTAGAAACTTGGAAAGAGTTCTGCTTATTCTTGAGCTTTCTAAGCATTTAATTTGATTGACCTTCTTCTGGCTGTTTGAAAACTCCCAAAACTCTTTACAGACAAGAAAGTCAGGAAGTATTAAACATAAATGGCTTGATTTTATGATCCAAGCAAAACTTGACTAATTTCAGTATGTCAGTAGCAAAACTTAATCTAGTCATTATAAAATAGCTCCAAAATTTGAGCCATGATCTCATGTTTTCTAAGTTAATTTTCACTATTGCCTAAATATATATATTTTTAAAAAATCTGCTCACACAAGCTAGATGTTTGCTTCTTTCTCTAGCATCATATTTGTAAACAGCTCTTTCTCAGCCTTCTCTGGTTTTATGCTCTAAAAATAATTTTTCCACTATTTAACTTTTATCTATGAAGAGTAGAACATATACAGAAAGAAACATTGAATAACTGAGAATGACAGGTTCACTTCTGAATGTTTATGAGGTATCACACATTAAATGCAATGAAATGCTTGAAACATAACTATTGGAAATAGTTACTTTTGTCACACTAAAAATTTTTTACAAAAAACCAAGTCCATGCACCTTCTGTAGACAAAACTTCTACATCCATGATATGGCCAGAAACAGTCAGTCATATGTATGACATTTTATAGTGCTTTTTGAAGTTTCTAACAAGTTCTGAAACTTTCATTTAGACAACTGACCAAGAGAAATTAAATTTATGGTAAAGGAAATTGTATGAATGAAAAAATTATTTCAAGACCCAGAGCTTCATCTTAGCAGATCACACACTCCCTTAAAATATTTTTCTCCTTTCTATGACTTATTAGAGAAAAACATGCTACATCATTTAACATAAGATAGTTTGGGATCTTAGGCTCATGCAAATCAATGGAAAACATACATTTACATCAGTGGGACAAGTTTTATGCAGAGAAAACAAAGGCACATCAGCAAGTATAAAGGGAGATACATGAAAAATAATTGTTTGTATACAAGACACTCACAAACCAAGCTGCATCTTCAAAAAGAATAGAAATCCAAGGAAGATAGTTTAAGTAGAAAGAAAATGAGACTATGCCAAAATAAATCTGGTAAAGAGAAGGGAGAATTCTGCATCAAGACATCAGTGATAAATAATTATACTATCTGGAAATGTCAACTCATGAGAAAACCAGGAAATGTCGATATACTATTGTGGAATAATGAATTGTGTTGAAAATACTTAAAAAAAATACTTAGCATTCACTGCAGGACACTGTAGAGATACCAGTCTGAGAGCTCCTGCTCAGAATCAACATTGAAGCAGCACTGTCGCAAGATATGGTGCCAAAAGAGATAGTGTTGGAACAAAGTCTTCCGTTTAGTTGCAATAAGTAAATAAAAGCATATGGCATACATTGTGATTCTGAGGAAATTTAAGAGCCAAGTCAGAGAATATTAATGAGAAATTAAAGATGTCGTTAATATCAGCAATTCCTTTATGGTATGAACAGTAGAAAGCAGGTGTGCTGTTTGCTTGGTTTTGCGAATATTGTATTTTCTGTATGTTTTTGCATTGTAATCTTTCCAATTTTATTTCAGTATCAGAAAATTAGTCACAAATAGAACCAGTTGTTATAATTCTTTTAGTTTTCAAAAATCTATGATAAATTCTTCAGGATAGACCTGAAAAAATTAAGTAACCAACTGATGAATGACAACATCCAGAGAACCTTGGAGAACTAAAGCAAAAGAACTAGCCTACATTCTGATGCAAAGCAAATTAAGCATGGGAATGAATATTTCATATGCATTATAACTCAAGCATGAGTAATGTGGGACCCTAGTCCTGAAAGGACTTGGATATATGCTTAAAATTAAATTTGTGCATAACAGTTATCAAGATGACATTACTACTATATAATACATCTTGTAGTGATGTAACAGAACAGAGGAACGGTATGTTGAATCTAATATACAAAATTATTCAGTGTAATTGAGATAAGGTTATGGCAAATAAATGTGAAGTCCAGAAAACAGTGTTGGGAGCCAGGGAATGGAGGGGATATGAATTCAATGATTATAAAAGAAAGATAAACATCCAAAATACAGTTTGGTAGTTTTGAAGAGAACTGTAGCCAGTCAGGAACATTATGATGGGCAGCTTTATGAAAATATCTGCTAGAATTTAATGACAGTAAGAAAATCAAACAAAACTCAGCAGTAGTAAAAAGAAATAGAGATTAATTCTAAAAATGTGAAAATCATTATATAGTTTAAAGATATACACATATATTGAATAGACAAACCTCATTTAAAGACGAATTTTGAGAGACACAGTGTAGTCGCAGGATAGGAAATGGACAGGTGAATAGATACATTTCCATACAAGGAAATTGACCGCAGAGTACTATATTTGACTACTTCTTTGAAGAGGAGACATCCTGAAAGTGATAAAACTTTCAAAAGAATTGTAACACAAAGCCTTTGGTGGCTTCATTAACCAATAATTAGAGAAAATCAATTAAATAGAAATATGGGTTTTTTTTTAAAAAAAAGTATATTTATGCAGTACAAAGTACAATAGACTGCAGAAACCTATGAAATCCTATAGCACCATGTAAGACAAAGGGATGTGACTTTACATTTATATGAGTATCATGATATTAGCTATTATGTTTTTATAGCTATAATAAATAAGATAGATAATGTTTTCATTATTTATAGCTTGTGCTATGAATTAGACTAGGAAGAAATTGAGCTATAGACATATTTTTGCATATTATAGCATGAATTGCCTTATTTCAGAGTACTGCATCATTCTTGGAAATATTTTAATCTTTGTCAGAAACAAGACATTGAACTACACAAAGTATCACTTTGTTCAAATACAAGTATTCCTTTGTTGCTCTTGAATTGAAAACAACTGAGAGCAGTTAATAGTGATGACTGTTCACTCTGATATTTTTTTTAGTGTTCTATATGTACTTGATCTTACTTTTGTACTTCATAATTTGATTCCCCATTTTTACTTAAAAGGAATTTTAAACCATTATTGTTTTCTAATCCAAAGACCTCCTATGTTTTATTTTAGCTATTGTTTTGCATTTCTGCAGTCCATGTAGACGTTTTGCTCCTATATTAGGTTAGAGAAGACTATTTTCTAATTACACACTCTATAATCTTGCCCAAACACATTTATAACATGAAAAGTGTTCAGTAAACTGAAGTTACATCCCATATTGTAAATGGTACTACTCCATTCCTCAGTTTCCTTATCATATATATTCATTCTTTTATGTTTTCTTGCAATAGTTATTCAAAAGAAATGTAAGATCAGCTGTTACGTTATTGTAAAGCTGACTTCCCAGTTTGACTTAAGGAATAGTTCAAAAATTTTCACTAGTAAGGTTTTTTGTATGCTTTTATTTAAACTGTTTTTGAATCAGTAAAATGAAGGGCTATTCTGAATGCCACTAATGATGCTCCATTTAATAATTAGGGTAAATACAATAGCAGAATGTGCCTGAAGTCATCTATTGCATACTTGATGCTATTGTTCTTGCTTACAGATATTTTTCTATTACCATATGTATGGAGCCCACATTGGATCATTGATTGTCTACCAGATAACTACAGCGAAACATGAAACAATTCTCCTTAATCTTACTGGAAACCAGGGAAATTTCTGGCAGCGTAAAGCACTGATCCTGGCTGAGGATGGAGATGAAGATTTCCAAGTTGTCTTTGAAGGGACATCTGGAAAAGGTCCCAAAGATGGCATAGCACTTGATGACCTCACATTTTCCAAAGATTGCTTACCATCCCGGGAGTTTTTACCAGCAGAACCCACAATGCTGCCTCCAACAGGTATGTTC